AAAATCCAAACTCAATGGAGGAAATACCATAAAGGCAATCAACACCTGGGCAATCCCAGTCATTAGATACACAGCTGGAATAGTGGACTGGACTAAAGCAGAACTAAAAGCAATGGATAGGCAGACCAGAAAAATAATGACAATGAATCACGCCCTTCATCCACGCAGTGACATTGATAGACTTTATCTACCAAGGCAAATAGGTGGGCGTGGAATGCTACAAGTACATCAGATGGTTGAAGAAGAAAAAATGGCTTTGGAATAATATCTGAAGAACAATGATGAAGATGCACTGAAATTAGTATATCAGGAAGGCTTACTGACTACTGGAGAGACCAAACTGGCCTACAAGAAAGACCAAATGAAGAACAGAATAGAGGCATGGGAAGACAAAGCACTACATGTCCAATACATTAAAAAAATAGCTGGGAAAGCAGATAATAATAAAACCTGGCAATGGCTAAGAGCAGGAAAATTGAAGAAAGAGACCGAGGGACTATTCTGGCTGCACAAGACCAAGCCTTAAGGACAAATGCATACAAAGTCAAAATTGAGAAGACAGCAACAGACAGTAAGTGCCGCCTATGCAAAGAAGCTGAAGAAACAGTGGACCACTTGGTAAGCTGTTGCAAGAAGATTGCACAGACTGACTACAAGCATCGGCATGACAAAGTAGCAACAATGGTGCATTGGAAGATCTGCAAAAAATATCATTTGCCTGTAAGCAAAAACTGGTGGGATCATAAAATAGAAAAAGTCATAGAAAATGATAAAATTAAACTGCTCTGGGACTTCAGAATTCAAACAGACAAGCATCTGGAACATAACACCCCAGACTGATAAGAAAGACAAAAAAGTCTGGATAGTGGACGTGGCAGTGCCTGGAGACAGCAGAATAGAAGAGAAAGAACTGGAGAAGATAACAAAATACAAAGACCTACAAATAGAAATAGAAAGACTGTGGCAAAAGCAAGCAAGGGTAGTACCAATAGTAATAGGCTCCTTGGGTGCAATCCCAAAACAACTGGAGACCACTTGAACACCATTGGCATTGACAAATTCGCTATTAGTCAATTGCAAAAGGCGGCCTTACTAGGAACTGCTCCCATCCTGCGACGATATCTGTAATACCATCAAACATCCACATCTGCCTATCCCAGGTCCTGGGTAAGGACTCGATAGGTAGACAAAATGCCAAATCCAGTCTGAACATCTGGCTGACTGTGTGATGATTGATAACAATAATAAAGTTGGAAAGGACCTTGGAGGTCATCAAGTCCAACCCCCTGCTCAGGCAGGAAACCCTATAACATTTCAGGCAAATGCTGTTTTAAAACTGTAACTGACCAAGAGTGAAAAGGAAGCTAAGACAAAAATATCCTTTCAAGTCTTATATTAATGTGTTCTAGATGCCTAAATTCACTGTTCTTCCTTCCTTTTTTTCATGCCTGGTCAAAAAGAAATGTTACTAATAGTAGCAATCATTCTTCTTGTAGCCTTACATGCTCTTAGGCTTTTTACTCAGCAAACAACAACTATTTGTTTAAACGAGGCTTCCACTTCCATGCCTGCTGGATATTTATAGATTTGAGTAGGTCAGCACACTCAATGAAATATATTGACCAAATACAGATGACATCTCTAGCAAAAAGAAGTCTTCCGAAAGGAAAATATCATAACCAACCAAACATTATTCTGGAGATGGTATTGAAGTGTGAAGTTAGCATTTGTTCATCAACCACTTGTTTCTAACCTTACCAATGATAGATGAAAGCTGTTCCAAGAAGAACAAATGACTCCGGAAGTGTGTAGAGCCAGAAAGCATTTAAAGGATTAGCCAGACTTTATACAACACCTGTAGCTCTGGGCATAAGGAAGCTACTCATGCAGGCAGAACACATTTACACTGACATTTTTGTTGGCCTGTGCATTGCACGGCTTCCAGTTGAAATGGGTGTGCTGGTCTGAATAGCAAGTAGAACACAACACACTAAATGTTGACTATGACTGTGGAGCCCTTCCTTCATTGAATTTCCCTCAGGAGCTCTCTGCTGCTTTTCACCTCCGTGCAGATGATATTAACTGGAGACAAACATCTGGGGAGCTGAACCTAGCCAATAAAAAGATTCCTAAAAGAACAGGGGGAGGAAGTAAAACAAACACAAACATCCAATCTTTGCACATAGCTTTTCTTTCTCATCTTGACTATATTTCCATGACCCCCTTGAAATGTAAGCAACTCATGGGTTTTTCTCCAAAAAACAAAACAAACAAACAAAAACATAGTAAGTCTGAATATGGTAAATTTTAGAACCTTAGGTGAAATGAGTCCTTGACTCCTATGGGTTTTATTGTTAGTTTGTTTGTGTGAATAAGGCTTAAGCCAATTATTTATTTTCTTATACAGATCATAAATGAAAACTATAGGTAGACAGGAAATAATTGCAACTATATGAAAAGTGTAATTGAGGCCTGGAGGGGGGAAAGAACCAATAGAATAACTTGGATATTTATATTTTAAATCCTGTTCTATCCTAAGGGTCACAAAATCTTATACATTAGCCTTTAAAAAGTTATTTTGGGTGTCTCCAAGTTGGTGTTGACTCCTGGCAATTGCCTGGACTAATCCCTGCAGTTTTCTTGGCAGGTTTGCCCTTGCCTGCTTCCCAGAGCTGAGGGAGAGTGTCTGGCCCAAGTTCACCCAGCTGGCTTTCATACCTAAGGCTGGTGCCTTAACCACTAGACCAAACTGGCTCTTTTTAAAACTAATTAAGGCCATTGTTTCTTTTTATCATGTTAAAATGGGATGGGGAAGAAGATAGAAAAGAAATGATCTTAGACCTAATAGATAGATCACCCTTTATTATTTTCAGTGTAATTGATAAAATGATAGAGACACATGTTGGGCACACATGTTGATGCTGCCAAGTATTTTGTTCATTTTTTATGTTTTTGTTAAATTTGTTTGCTGCCCATCTCGTCACAAGGCGACTCTTTTTACCCCTTTAGTGAGAAAGCAAGTCTGCAATCTTAGCAAATATAATTGGGAGTCACCCCAATTGTAGATAGATAGAGATAGATAAATAGGTGAGATAGATGATATCTAGATGAGATAGATGATAGATAGATAGTTAGATAGATAGATAGATAGATAGATAGATAGAAGGTAGATGGATGTATAGATGGATGATAGATAGATTGATAGATAGATTAATAGAGAGATAGATAGAGAGAGATAGAGAGATAGATAGATAGGTTAGATAGATAGGTTAGATGGATGTATAGATAGATGACAGATAGATTGATATATATATATATATATATATATATATATATATATATATATAGAGAGAGAGAGAGAGAGAGAGAGAGAGAGAGAGAGAGAGAGAGAGAGAGAGAGAGAAATGATAAGAGAGAGAGAGAGAGAATCCTGTTGAACTAGAGCAAACTTACCAGTGACGAACAGAATGGAGTTCATGGCTGAGGAGGTTCCAAGTAGTCTGAGCAAAGTAAATTACCCGTTGCCTCTTAATCCTCCCTGAAGTCTCCTTTTAAACACGAGTCATTTCAGTACCACGCTCCGTCGGACAGCGCTCCGCTCTCAGGAAACGCTTGCGATTGGTCCAATCAGAGTCGGCGGGACACCCGCCCTCCCACCCGCTCGCTTTCCCACCTCCCGGCTCTGCGTTTGCTGGAGAGCTAGCACAGCCTCTCTCTCTCTGTTTCACACCTGTCGGAGAGGTCCAGGCTACGGTACAGCTAACTGCTGATCAAATATGTTTGCTGAATAACGATCTACTCTTTCAGTAAAGCTAGGAAAATAACCAATTCGCGTTTGGCTTGATTCCTGTATTTCTTGCTATGCCTGAATTTCATAGTAATTCATCAACACACTGTTCACATAACACACGAACACACTGCATGCGGTTAAATAAAACTGAAGCTCATTTTCTGGGTTCAAACAGCACACTGATCCATAAGCTAATCGCCTGGATTGGACTTGCACATCACGCTAAGCCAAAATTGTAGTCCAGTTGACCGAAATTTAGTGAGGCATGAAACTAAGCTTAAGCTTCATGCTCCTGAAGGAAAACTAACTTTATTCTGATTATTAAAAGAGAATTAGATCTTCTCTAGGGTGAAAGCAGGCACCCTTTTGGCTCTGTTGAAAAAGTCCGAGGGAATAATAAACAAATGTGAAATTTGCTGCATTGTGTACTGTGCTGCCAGGCTGATAAACATAGGGGGAAAAAAAATCTATAAATGTGAGAGGAAGGCACATATAAACATCAATCCACAACAGCAGAGGAGCAACAGCCCTCTCGATTTTATTAGTCAGTGATTCTCAAAATCCTAAATCAGCAGGAAAAGATGAGGGGCACTGAAAGTTGCCATGGTCCAAAATCTGGAGAAGGTGAGCTGGGAAGGACAGAAATACTTATAAAACTGTAGGAAATGTGAAATGGGGAGGAAAGCAAGGCATTCAAGTTCAGTTCAGTGCAATAGTTTTTTTAGTGTTGGAATTCTGGAAAGAACAAAAGAAGTTTTGATTGAATTGTTATTGTATAAATTGAGTGGAAGTGAAAGAAACAAAGTCTGGGCAGCAGGTCAAAAGTTTCATATACTGTACTTATTATAATTGCTAGTGTTTGGGTAATATGTGAGATAGATGTCTAAATATGTTTAATCTATTAGTGCAGTGTTTCCCAAACTTGACAATTTTAAGGCATGTGGACTTCAACTCCCAGAATTCCACAGCCAGCAACGCTGGCTGTGGAATTCTGGGAGTTGAAGTCCACATGCCTTAAAATTGTCAAGTTTGGGAAACACTGTATTAGTGTGTCAAGGTCTTTGAAGGTGATTTCTTTCTCTCTCTTTCTCCACCTACCCCTGGGAAAGCTTTTGGCTCTCTGGCCTTATGTTCATCAAAAATTAAAAAAGAAATACTAACATACAGTATTAGGTAATTAGAATAATTATTTATTTAGACAGCATTCTGAGCAAATAGACGCTAAAGCATGCAAGGTATCTGGACTGGATATTCATTTCCAATTGCAATTTTAAAGAGGCATTTCTGACTTTTGTCTGGGCCAGCCTGCCAAAAGGCTATTGGTTCTTCTGCTCTGAGTGAGCCTCTTTCCAGAGTAAGATGAATGACTCTTAGAAGTAGCATTTTCTGTGCTTATTATTTCCAGCAAATTCGTCTATTTGGATTACACAAGCTTCCAGACATGAAGAATAAGTTCACCATTAACCAAAAGGACATCAGACCATACTTAAAATTTTGTATAAAATGAGAAAGGAAGAAATGTCCTAACCTTTTTTAAATTGTTTACATTGTAAGCAAAAGTTGGAAAGAAAGATAAGGGATTTAGCTCTTGATCGGCTTGTCTGTCAGTTTAACTTTCTGAGAACAGAGTGGAATGGGACCTAACTTACTGGGGTATAAGAAATATCAAAGAATAGGATAGCACACACACTTGCAGACACACACACACACACACACACACACACACACAAATACATTCATTACACAGGGAAAATAGACTCTTCCTGTGGCCACAGATAAAAGCATTAAAAGTCACACCACATGCTTTCTCTACCATTTTGTTGTATTATTATTTCATAATAATTTTATTGTTTGACTCCTTCTGACTAACTAGTTATCATTTTAATCTTATAATGAAATATTCTTTGGATAGGGACCAAGCCCATCAGCAGATCATCCCAATGAAAATGGGTGCATATATGTCTCACAACTATCATTTCTTACAGTTGAATAGTATATGCTAGGAAAAATCACATACATTTCCAAACAAAGGTCTGTTTTCTTTTTTAAAAAAAAATCATCCAATTTTGTATATTAGCCCAGTTTATCTTTGTCATAATCTATTATTTCACTTTTGCGGTTTTCCAAGTATTTTGGTCCCTGTTTTAGATAACTGGAGTCACAGATCAAATGACAACGATTTATCACAGAAAGTAGCCATCTATCAGCTCTCAACAAATCCAGGGCCCTTTGTGGGCAGTGAGACTACACCAGTCAAGGCAACATGTTCTGGGAGCTTTGCAGCATGATCAAAATTGCTGGTCTGGGTCGTCAAGGACTTCCGACTGTCCATGCTTGTCCTTCCTCTGGGTGAAGCATCTTGGTGATGGCCAATACCAAAGCAGCAGCAAGAAAAAGCAGCTTTAAATTCTTCCCGAAATTTTCCTGCCGAATCAAAGACCAAGACCATCATGAAGAAGCAGCCAGACCATATCCTCCCAAATTAACACAGTTCTTGCATTTGTTTCTTTTCCATTCAAAGTGCCTGATGTGATTTGCATAACCCAGTGAAGGCAATGAGATGGCAGCTTTGCAGCAGGTGATGTAAGGGGAGATGGGAATGGCCTTGAGGGGGAGGCAGGGCAGAGAAGAAGAGATGCTGCCTAAGGAACAGTCAGATAAGAGGGAGCAAAGCAGAAAAGCTGCAGAATGGGTGGAGAAAGAGGCTCAGAAGGGACTCCCTCATGGGATATCAGGCTGTAAAAGAAATGGCGGGGGATTTATACTTTCAGACTTGCAAGATTCTGTTAATGTAGCCTTACCATAAAGAAGAATTAGCTCATCTGGTCGTGTTTCCTATCAGTCTATCTGGGAAGGTTGACAGTTTTTCTAAGATGATTTATATATGCAGTTATGATTCTGATTTTGAGTTCCTGTGTGCAGAACTGGTGAAGCATGTAGCAAAATTATCTTTTTAAACTGAGCTTAGGGCTTAAATATCAGTGTTGTCTTAAAGGTGCAAATATGAATGGAATGGAATGGAATAATAGAATGGAATAAGAATAGAATAGAATAGAGTAGAGTAGAGTAGAGTAGAGTAGAGTAGAGTAGAGTGGAATGGAATGGAATTCTTTATAAAGATTTCTCTTCTATTCTAATGAATTTAAAGCAAAAAGAACAGCAGGGAAATAACCCTTTCAGCCCATCATAAGTATCCTGGGCAAAAGTTTTCCACTTTTAATCATTCTTTTAATCATTAAAAGTTTTCCACTTTTAATCATTTAATCATTCACAATGGGAGGTACAGAAGCGTTTATTATCAGATTGCATTTATTTTCCTGTTTTTCTCCGAAGCACAGCGTAGTTTTTATGAATATATCCCCAAAGTGATCTAGCTTGATTTGAGTTAGTGAAAGACTATTTTTTTTTTAGAAAAAATCACCCCATGAGCTCTGTGGTTGTGGAGGGATTCAAACTGGAGTCTCCACAGTTTAAATCCAGGACTATTATAGGACTCTTTTAGCATAAGGGATTGCAAGGGGATGAAGGACTGTTTTGCAGAGGAGGATGTTGGTGGAGGCCAATTCCTTCTTTTTAGCTCAAGCACTAAGAAATTCAAAAAGATATAAAAAAAGTTCTTGAACTCAATCATAAGTGAAAAAGTTAACGAGGAATGAAATTACTATCTCCTATATATCAAGGAGAACACACCTCATATTATATATTTTTATTATTTTAATTGTTCTATACTTTTGGAATTATGAGCCATCCAGAGTCACCGATTTAGATGGACAGCTATAGAAATCAATGAATTCAAAGCAAAGCAAAGCAATCCATCAATAATATTAGGCAAATCTTCTGATATCTTGAAATTTGTCGTTTGTTTTGTTTGTGATTGCAATTAATGGAAAACTGACCTAAAAGTAAAAATTTGTTTGATATTAAAATGATATGTATATATATTTAAACTAAGTATACTCAAACACTTGATCTGTTTATTGGATTGCTTGAATGATGCATTTTCTTTAAATCTGTTCCTTCCTCTATACTACAGCAGTATCTTTCTCTTTTAGAATACTGTAAATACGGCAAAATAAATACATTGCATTAGTTCTTTAGCTCTGTTGTTTTTCTACCAGGATAATAATAATAATAATAATAATAATAATAATAATAATAATAATATAATCTACTTACCACTAAGAAAGTTGTAAATAATTGGGTTTACTGCACTATTTGCGTATACAAGCCAATGCGAGAAAGTAAACCAAGCATACACCGTTTCTCGATCTTCAGCCTTGTTAAACATCCCAAAAACTCTTATAAAAAGAGGGGGGAACATTAGAAGTAGAAAACATCTCATATCATATTTCTGATATTGATAAACATGTAAAATATTTGCATGGTATATAGATCAAAATTCTGAATTCCAGATGTGTGTAGTGATGTCATAACTATAGCAACATGAAGTTATAAAGGGTGTTCTCCATATATATCACCTCTCATATACAATTGTCACATTGATGGGATGTGCCTTGACATGACTAAGATCCACACATGCCAAGAACCAGATGCATTTTATTTATCTAATTTATCTAATTGCCCATCTCTCCTAGCAACACAGCTAACACAATCAATAAATACTTAAATGTATTGTCATCATCATTAAAAACATTCAAAACTATGAATAATTTACAAAAGCAACACACGAACAAAGAAATAGCAGTCAAAGGGATACTGATAGTAACAGTACTTCACTGATTCACCCATCTTAGTTGAATGAGGAACTGTATACATGCCTAAATTCTCCAACAGAGGTAAATATATAGATTCTAGACATATAATAATCAACTTCTAAATATACAGACATGACTGGATTTATGCTGCCCACTGACTCCTAATCGGCATTTTTGTGAATATCTGAGTGGGGACTACTCATACCTTTTTTCATAATTGTAAGAATATGGCTTTCACAAGCCAGCCTGACCTTTAAAATTATGTACAGGCCTTTTTCCATGTTCTCTGTCATCAGAGGTACGACATTTGTCTACAAAAAAGAGGATTTTCTGCAGAAATCAGTGAACGCCAATAAGACAGCGTGCTCTGAACTGAGAGTTATTTCAGTGTCCCTTGTACGGTCCTCTTTTATAACAATAAGTATTATAACTTATTATAACAACTTATTGCCAGATTGTGTACATTCCAAATCTACAAATGAGGCTGGCTAGCCATTTGTCTGGAATGGGCACAGGGGTTGGACCAGAAGACTTCCAAGGTCCCTTCCAACATTGTTCTATGTTCTAAATGTAAACCAGAAACATTTTTTTTTCATCAGTGCATCCCATTATAAAGTCACCATCCCATTCAGTAGAGATATGGCATTTCATATGCATACTTTTCTAACCTGCAATTTGATTTGATTTTTTTTGACAGTATTGAATCTTAAATTTAAGTCACCAATCTTGTAACAGTAACATTCCTGGGAAGGATTTGCATTAACTCTGCAATGGTAGCCCAATCCTAATCCAAACCATAATCTGGAAGAATTTAAGATGCCATGTTCTCCAACTTAGTGCCCTCCAGATGTGTTGGACCTCAATTCCCATCACTCCTACCCAGACTGCTGACAGAAGATGAAGGAGATGAATTCTGATATATCTAGAGGACTATAAGAAAAATGATTTACATTCCTTGTTGGCCTTGATGCCTGTAGAAATGATCTACTGGCCAACTTCTGCTGACCAGCTCTGGCCAAGAGGGACTTCTTTGGGAATAGTGCTGATAATATTCAGCAGTATGAGATCTTCTTGCTTCTATTGTCCTCAGAGTTTGGCTCCTCACTGGAACAATAACATTTTTTTCCCTTGTGTAGCAATACTTTCTATTTGCCCATGCGTCTTCAACTGAGTCCGTAGGCTGACTGCCCTCTGGTGTCCATAGGTGTCTCCTGCAGCCTTTTGTTGGCTCTTTCCTACATTGCTTCCAATGTTATCTCTTTCAGAACACGTTTATAACGTTTAGAAACACATTTTTATTATTAACGTGTTTTAAGCTTTAAAACCAGTCTGTTAATGAAAAAGCATAGAGGGAGATAGGAGGACAACTATTCTTTGAAATGACCTGTAATGAACATGTATGAACACAAATCCTATTAGCACCCAGGAAAAATGTTATGCTTGTGTGGGAAATTATGGATAGTCTTCAACTTACATCCATTCAGTTAATGTCCATTCAAAGTTACAATGGGGATGAAAAAAGTGACTTCTGCTGGTCCTTGCACTTATAACCAGCACAGTGTCCTCAGAATCACATGATCAAAATTGAGAGCTTAGCAACTGGCAAGTATTTATGATGGTGGCAGCATCTTGAGCAGCATCACCTGATCTCCACTTGGGACCCTCCCAGCTTCTGACAAGCAAAGTCAATGGGAGAAGACAGATTTCTTTAATGACTGCATGATTTGTTTAAGGATTACACAATCTGCTTAACAATAGCAGCAAGGTGTGTTGGTTATGTTGGCTGCTTTGAGTTCTTTGCATAAATAGTAAGGACTGGATAAAAAAATAAATAATACTACTAATAAAAACGATTGAAAAACTGGATGTGACTCATTTAATCACTGCCTCACTTAGCAATGGAAGTTCCAATCCCAATTGTGGTCATAAATCAAGGACTCCTTGTAAGCATAGTGGGCTCTCAATAAAAATCGCCACCCAATTATTGTTGAATATATTTTTCCCAGCCCAGACAGACACCCAAACTATTTATTTTTAATATCTCCAGATCTGGCATGTAGAAGTACCTTTTCAAGATGTTGAGAATGCTAACGGGGAGATAGCAGAGGGCAAAAACCAAGAGCACCACCATGAGCATCCGGGCTGTTTTTCTCCTAGTTTTAATCTGTTTGATTTCAGCTGCCACCACTCTAATCCTCAAATGTGCTGGTGGGTCCAGTTCCCGTGTCTGTGCTGTGGATTGCAGCGGCTTCCATTTCCTCTGAACCATGGATGACGTTCCTGGAATCTGACAGCACATAATAATCGGAATCTTAATGATTGCCATTTGGCCCAAGGGAAATTTTGCACTGATTACTCAGCAAAGGTTACAAAGTAGATCCATTTCCACTCATGAGCATAGCTACATGATCACAGAGAAGTTTTGGTATGATCATCTTCCAGTGATGAAAATGGAAGATAATTTTTTTAAAATCTAAACCCTTTTTGTTAGGATCAGTCTGTTTCCACAATAGTTGCAAAGTGTATTATAGGGTAATGTTTATTATAGGGCAAAGTTGTAAAGTTTATTATAGAATGTGAATGGAATTAAATATCACAAATTTGGAATTTACCTCTACAGGAAGAGCTATGGATTTAACATGGGAAGCATAAAAAAAGATTGCTCTTCTATATAGGAAAGATAGAATAACTTCAGATTTAAAATCTTGGGTTGATAAGATATGCTTGTTCTCTCTCTAGAAATTGGCTGATGATAATTACGATAGGAAAATTGATCATTATTATTCCATGTGCTCGAGGGCTAGTAATAGGATCAAACATTGGACTGAAACTTTAATCTTTCTTCTTTTTGTTATTTTTATTTATTTTTTTCTTTGTTTCTCTCTGTCATGATACATCACATTTGTAAAATACTTGATGTACTGTATGAATGGGTCAAAAATAAAAGTAAAGAAGATAAGATTTGGGGGAAAATCTACTCTAAACAAGCCAAAACATCTCCATTCTATTCCGAAGACATATAGCATGTACTAAAAAAATGTGAAAATCATTTTACACTTATGCATTAGAAACAGAAGGTTAGCAACTATAAGGATTTGTTATTAAATACAGTGGTTCCTCAGTACTCCATGTTAATTGGTTCCAGGAGTTGTGATGAATATCAAATAATTTTTTCCCATAAGGAATAACATAGTGAGTAACAAAGCAGCTGACATCATCAAGTTCTAGCTTGTGCATTGAGTGCTAAGCAAACAATAGGTGCTTTTGGTACAAATTTTTTGTATCAAATGTGTCGAGTACCAAATTTCATGCATTTCCAAGCAGTTGAGTACCAAGGAACCACTGTAACTGATTTTCTTCATGTGCTCTAGCCCCATGGATTGAGGGTACACATAATGGTTGTTAATTTTTCTAACAGATAAACATGATACATTTGTTATCTCAATGTCACAGTGTTTATTAGAATAACTAATCTATATAAATAAAAATGTAAATGTTCGTTTGTTCAAAATCTTAAATCTCCGAAAGTTCTTCACCGATTGCTTTGCAATTTTGACACAACGTTGCATTCGAATATGCACGTTTTTATGTTTTTATATACCTCCTATTATATAGATGTCACACCTGTGACAGGTAAAAACATGTTTTTTTTTGAAAAACAGCGCCATCTGTTGGACGTAAAAGCAACACATGCTACGATTTCAGACAATCTCTATATCTGCACAGACAATGGAACAACAAAAAATATTGTATACCCACAAGCATTGTGAATTTAAACATATTACAAACGTGCGCTTTCTCTTTTCTTTCTTTTCCATTTAACTAGACTGAGCCACAGCAACACGTGGCTGGGTACAGCTAGTAGTAAATATGTTTTTAGTTCTTTTCACTTAATCGGGAGCTTCCCAGAGTTAGAAGATGGGCAGCTACATCAATGTTTTAAGCAAGAAACAAACAAACAAACAAACAAACAAACATGCTCATTTCAGCTATTACATTCAAAAATCAAACATACGTGTTTCCATAAGTGAAAGTAGCAACGACCCTTGTTTAACACAACAATAAAAAAAGTAAATGCATTAATACAGTGGAAATTTGTTTAGGAAATATTCATCAGAACTTTTAAGTTACATTTCAGTTTCTTTCCTTGTTCCTTCATTCAGACATAATTTAAGAAATATGGAAACACAGGGGAAAAAATAAATATTCCTAGCATGATGTATAACATCTCAGTATTTTAATTTTAACATCAAATCTATAAACTCTTGGTTGGGGGCATGGAATTATTTATTTTTGCTAGATTGCTTCATACGTTCAGATGGTGCAAAGATTCCATTGCCAAGGATAATTTATTTCAATCTATGCCACTATATACCTTTCAATCAATTACATAATTCTTTCGAGGTTTAAAGGCTTAGCTGGCATAAGTCTTAAAAAGGGACTTCATAGCAAAAGAACCCACCTGCTGACACCACAGCTTTTGAAAAATCTGTAAGTAGGCCAGCACCATAAGACACAGTGGAGCCAGATAGGTTATCAGGAAGAAACAGGTATGATACATTTTGGGGGGAAATTCACCTGCAAAGGAAATAAAACAGCACATAAATAATATCTCATTCAATCTGCTATTATATGCTGCAAAAGCTGGCTCACAGGAACATAAATGGGACTTAATTTCATACAAAATGGAAGAGCAAAACCTTATTCATTGTTGAGGTAAAATGTTTATAAAGTATTTTCAAATACTGGATTGAGTAAAGCCACTGCCTTACGATGTATTGTAATGTTTTAATTTATATGTTTTATATTATTATTTGTTAGCATGTGGAAATGTTAAATTCCGCATACCTCCTAAAGCAAGGGAGAGGCAGTTTATAACTATTTTAAATAAGTACTGATGATGATTGCTTAATAAAATCCTTATTATGTCATATAATTGCCAGGAAAAAAAACTCACCACATACTTTTCGCATACCAAAACTTCTTCTGGCATGGGAACTGTCAGATGAATCTTTGAAATGAAGCAGTGCTGTTGCTTTGCTGTTAAAACCTTTATTAAAGCTTTCCCTGTGCAATTTCAGTCACTTAAAGCAGGGCTTTTCAACCGGTGGTATGCGTATACATTAACAAGTGGCAGGTGGTATGCAGCCCTGCCTAGCCAAGTGTATTGGGGGAGGGAAAGAGCCAGCAGAGGCAAGGACTTACTGTGAGAGAGTCCTCTGGAGCTGCAGAATGGCTGGGGCAAGGCAAAGGCCCCAGGCTTACTTCTTGCTCACCCTTCCCCATAAGAGGGGAGGAGGAGGGGGACAGAGACAGGAGAGGCTATAAAAGGAGGCAGTTTGAGTGGGAGAGGGAGAGGAAAAAAAGCAGCAGCCTTGGGAGGAGGCAGAGTCAGCTCTAGCTGCACTGAAGGGAAAGAAGGAGGAGGAGGAGGAGGGTGGGGGGAGAGGAGAGGAGATCAAGCAGGCTGGCCATGAGCTGATCTACAACTGCTGTGGCAGCCACCTGTGCTGGCAGCAGCAAACAGGTAAGAAATGCAGCGGGGGAGGGGTCAAGAGGAGTGAAAAAAGGCAGCAATGGCTGGAGGTGAGGCAGGCAGATGGAGAGTGGAAGGATTCTTATGTGCTTTTCTGACTTTGAAGTCCTGGGATTTGTGCAATGTGGGCTTTCTGTTCTTAAGGAGTGTTTGGCAATTTCTATTTGGCTGATGGCTCCTGTTAGCTTCTATTGCTCTGCTATTGTTAGCTGTAAATTCTGTTGCAAGGGATTTTGAAGTATTTTTCTCCTGAATGGATTTTGCCTGCAGCATTTCTTTACTTAAGAATGGAGCCATTTAGCAAGGCTGCCTTAGCCTGCAGCCAGTACTTACTACATTTTTGTTTCTTCCTTAAGTGCCGGCTGCTTAACTTTCCTTTCTAGCCAGTAGCTAATTCTTAAAGGGGAATGTGCCTTTTTAAGCTAGTTCACTCAGCAGCTTGTCTTTTCTGTCTCTGGAGGCTTTTCCTTGTTTGATGAATATATGGAAGAGAGAAAATATGGGGGAGGGTTTCAAATTCTTCCTTCAGAAGGAGATGGGAATGAGAAAGAGGGAGGGAGGGAAGTCCTGCCTTAGCACTTGGCCACCAGCAGCCCTGCCATTGACTTTGCTTGTCAAAAGGTTGCAAAAGGGGATCACATGACCCTGGAACACTGTGACCATCATAAATATGAATTAGTTGCCAAACATCCAAATATAAACCACATGACCCTGGGCATGCTGCAATGGTCATAAATGTGAAAAATGGTCATAAGTCATTTCAGTGCAATTACAACTTTCAACAGGTTTTTTTGGTTTTTTTCTTTGGTCATCAAGTTTTTGACACCTTGCTAGGTGGTACTTGAATATTGCCATATCCTAAAAGTGGTACAATTGGTGAAAAGGTTGAAAAGCCCTGACTTAAAGAAAGTCCTTCAGAAATAGGCCTTGGTTGGTGTTCCAGATCATGTAACAATGATGGTCAGGAGACAGAGGAAGGAAGGAAGGAAGGAAGGAAGGATGGAAGGAAAGAAGGGAGGGAGGGAGGGGGAGGGCAGGGAAGGGAAGGGAAGGAAAGGAAAGAGAGGGGGGAGGGAGGGAGGGACGGAGAGAGGAAGGGAGAAGGAATGGAATCTTCCTACCATTGTTAGTCTGTATATCCAGACTGGAGGACATACAGAAGGACTAATTATGTTTTTCATCTAAAATGGCAGACAATCTTCTAGAGCAGTGTTTCTCAACCTTGACAATTTTAAGGCATGTGGACTTCAACTCCCAGAATTCCACAGCCAGCCACATGCCTTAAAATTGTCAAGGTTGAGAAACACTGCTCTAGAATTTGAAGTCAAAGAAAGGCACCCCTTAGTACTGAAGGTTATATTAAAAAAATCTGCCAACCAATAAAGTCTAATTAGTCTTCTGTAGCAGACTTGATAACCACCAGCCATCTTTTTTTTCCCCTGACCCACTGAGTCTTGCATATCCCAAGATTGAGGTCACCAGCACTCACTTCCCCAATGCTCATCGCAGACAGTGAACAAAATGGTCTTGTTAGCCAATCCTGGAAACATGCTGCTGCACTCCATAACAATTGTCTGGGGTATCATGATAAGGCAGGATACCATCCAGATAACAAGGATGCTGTTCCTGGCCCGCTTGGCTGTGCTTTTGAACATCAGAGGATGACAAATTGCATACCATCGATCCAGTGCGATGCAGCTAAGGGTCAGTACAGAAACAGAGACCGACACAGTCTACAAAGGGAAGAAGAGAAACGCCAGAAAACAACATTCAAGTGAGTGACAAAAGAAGCATAATCAGAGAAGTAGTCTCTCCCACCATGGTTACAATCAGAAAAGCTTAGTTGCCAGTAACCTCTTTAACCCTAGTCCTATTTCTAGGAAAGCAGGATTCAGTTGGGCTGTATCATGGCTTTGCACTGCTAACAGGGACTACTAACAAGATCTAATTTGCTTTTTTTTTTTTTTTAAAGCGGACAAAAAACAATTCCCATATTCTTTCACATTCTATCATGTGAAAGTTAGGCTAAAATTTCTCTCCCTGATATGCAGGGAGTTGTTCACAGCACAAAAGAGAATCAGGTAAGGAACAATCCATATGTGTGCTTCCAATATATTGAGTGCAGGGAGGAAGAAGGATTCTGATTTAACTTGTTATGAGGGTTTCCACTATATAGTGTTATGAAAACCTTGTTTGCAGTGCATATTATGAAACTAGGTCATCCGTTACTGTACTATCTATTGAATGCAGACATGTTTGCAGGCAACTCTGTTTCTTGCGATGTGGGAATGTAGGAATGAGATTTTTGCCTCCAGGCTGGCATTCCTGCTGATCTGGCAGAAGTCTTTGTATTTGGCTGAACAATGAATGGGGTTCCTATGCTGTTACAGCCATATAGGCTCAAGAGTGTCCGTGTGACTAAAGAACCTCAATTGTATGGTCTGTATTGTGTGAAGGAAGTCATTCATTCTCATCCATGTAGCAGTATTACATAGTAGCAACTTCTATGATATGAACACCAAGCTATCAGGAATTCATCACTAATATGGGAGTGTATTCCATTTCACTCATCATCTGAATGCACCATCCAAAACTTTTTTAGTTTTATCTGTAGAGGCTATGGAATTATTCATATCACTGTTTTGCCCACTTCTTTTCATAAAATTATTCTGTGAATACCTGGAACCATGGTATTGTCCAGTCTTTTGCATGTCTATAATGTCTTGACTATAGGAAGCTAACATTTTAATTGTTAGTAAGTTTTGTTTCTTTCCAAGTATTCTATCAGATTGCTTTGGAGTGAAATTTATTTCCTGCTTTGCTTATTCTATATATAGTTTAATGCTTTGGTTTTGACTTTATTTAGATGTTATGGCAAATGTACAATTACAAATGGCATTAATCTGACCATGAAATAATTAAACCTCTCCTAGTCTAATTTTCAGAATGATCCTTCTTCTTTTGCTGTGAAGCAATATGTTAATCATGAACTAGCTTCTGAATTATAGATTCGGTAGCATCGAACCCACAATTTGTTTTTCAATGTGTACCACAACCCTGGAAAACAATACCTGCAAATAAGGGATCACCTTACAGAGGCTGTTTCCAAGGAACCAGGTCTCGGTGATATCTACCACGAGTGTAGCAGGAAGGCAAGTGAGGGTGACCAGTATATCGGCCAAGGAGAGGTTGACTATGAAGTAATTGGTAACAGTCCTCATGTGATGATTTTTCCACACTGCAACACAAACTGATTTTGCAAAGATGTCAGCCCAGGGGGAAAAGGCATTGGGAGAGAGCCAGACAGGCCAAAATAGTGAAGGAGGATTGGTGAGGAATGCACATCATTTTTAGTAAGGGCTGTCGTTTGTCACTGTCTTCAAATATTGACTGACCAAGCTATTTCTTCCTCCTACTTGGAAACTCAACTGATTAACCTCTCCTACATAGTGTAGGGCAAACCAATTATAGGAGCAAAATTGTGTAATAGCCAAGGATACTCCAAAGATTGATGGGACGGGTGAAGGGGGGAGAGAAGGAGAGAGAGAGAAGGAGGGTGGGAGGGAGGAAGGACGAAGGGAAGAGAGAAAGAGAGAGAAAAAAAGAGAAAGAGCGAGAGAGAGTGAAAGAGAAAGAGAGAGAGAGAAACAGAGAGAGAAAGAAAGAGAGAGAGAGAGGAGAAGAGGCCAGTCTCCATATTTGAAAGGCTTACAAAAGCACAGTTACATTTTGTCAGTTCAGTAGAATCCCTACAATTTATAGTGAACAGAGCTGAAAGCCTTTTAATCACTCTTATCTACTTGGATAATGCAGTACTAAGACTACAAATTAAAATTAGAAAAAATTAATTGTGAAGAACATCAGCTCACTGATGGAATAATCTGTTTTTTTTTTCTTAATTTGGATTTATAGCCCATGGTTCCTTCAGAAGCTCAAGGTGGTGTACATAGCATCCTTCCTTCCATTTTTTTCTACCACATAATAATGTGCCATACATCAGGTGAAAAAAGAGAGTGACCCACCATCTCCCAGAGAGATTCTGTGAATGAGGGTAGAATACAAGATGGCTTCCCCCAATCTCAACTGAACTCTTTCACTCGTGTACCAATAGAGTTATCTATAAAGTCATAAAGGTGGAATTAAAAACCTAATAATATTATGATTCCATTAACAGTCTAGTTATGATCATTTCAAGAATGTCCCTGTAGTGTTTTTGTATGATCTGCTATGAAAGAATGCTTTATGCCCCATTTTGTATTCGACTTTTGTCAAACAAAAAACAACTGCAATAGAATTCCCCAGAGAAAATTTGGAGCCTCTTATTGGAAAGGTGGAATAAATCAGGATAAATCTAAGCCATGCAGAATAAATCCAATCTATCAATCAATTAAAAAACAGACTCTTTACCATGGTTTTTCCCTGTTCACACTGAAAGGTTTGAAATGAGTGCAGTGAATTCTTTCTGCCAGTGTGTGTCAGTCAATATGTGGCAATGGAACTAGATCCCCAATGTACTGTATATAGAACAGTTTTCCTACAGAGAAAGATGAGTTTTCAAACATAGAACATTTCTGGTTTTCTCAGACATCTTGTCCCATTTGCAGATACAAATAAAGTGGCATTACCTAACTTCAAGGGTGGCACTAGATTCAGGCCCACATCCTCAAATACAGAAAAATGCCCCAAATATGTGATCTGCGAGCATTGCTATTTAGATACTAGAAAGATCTCACAGTATATGGCAGTATGAGTTTACTGCATGCGTAAAATATGCTTTCTCCCTGTTGTTTCTCTTCTGTCCCATGCATAAGTGACTTGTTGGTTTGTTTCTCCACTACTGTTGGGAGACCTGAATGGCCAGACTGGGGACAGATTACCTTCCCCAAGGTCTGTCTATGTGGCTGCTAAGTATCAGCACTGATTTGATGGCACTCACGCACGCACGCACGCATGCACGCAAGCAAGCAAGCAAGCAAGCAAGCAAGCAATAGCAGGCAATAAACTTGTAGCAAACACTGGGCATAAAAACATTATATTTAAACTTCTGAGTGTTGTATTGAAGTATTATGTGAATGTCATCACTGAGCAGTTCATGACCTTATGAGATAATGCTTTCACTAAGAGAAAATGAAAAATATAGCATTTTGTTTCAGGTGAAGTAACCAGTGAAGAAAAAACTTCCCAGATTTTGCAAAACAAGACTGCTGTTCAGGTTTAGAGTTTAGTCAGACCAAATTCTGTCTTGGAATTAGGTATCTATTATAGTAGTAGCAATAGCACATAGACTTATATACCGCTTCATAGTGCTTTAGAGCCCTCTCTAAGTGGTTTACAGAGACAGCATAATGCCCCCAACAATCTGGGTCCTCATTTTACCAACTTCAGAAGGGTGGAAGGCTGAGTCTACCTTGAACTGCCGAGGATTGAACCCCTGGCAGTCAGCAGACTAGCTTGCAATACTGCGCTCTAACCATTGCGTCACCACAGCTCAGTTATGTGTTGATGTTAGCTAACTTTTGGCAACATCTGCTTGCTTGTTTGCTATCTATAACCCTTCCCCATCCTTGCAGCACCACAGATGGCTCCAATTGCAATTTTTCAGCAACATATGCATGTTTTGGACCAGTTTGTTATGAACATTGTAAAGTCTGATCAAAATGGCACATTTCCATCATTTTATTCTCAATAGTTAAGAGTTTCCAACATTTGTTTACATAAATAAAAAGCAATATGAAGCCGCAATTGCACAGTTGATGGTGGCGGTTAAACTAGATCAGCTCTACAGAGCACAGATAGCAATCATGGAAAATTAATGCCGGCTTGTTCTGACAGATAACACGCACGTCTTGCGGGATTCTCTGCTTTGGTGCTAGTGCGGGGGACTCCTTTGGATGTATTCCTACAAAGTCTCTCTTTGTGGTGATGCCAAAGGTTCAACTGAGGATCTGTCTGTTTTATCTGCAGTGATTTTGGCAGGACACAAAATCCAGGGGATACAAAGTCTCTGTTTGGGGGATGCTGAATTCCTGCACCCCCATCTTCTGTGCGACAGTTCTAGAAACGTTTCCTACGTCACCAATCCCTTCTCCGATGGTAGGCAGGCAGCCAGGGATATGGAAGGGATTGTGAGTGAAAAAAGAAAAGTTGTCAAGGGAATAGAAAGGGCTGGAGGGAAGGGGCAGTAGTTCATATACAGGCCATATGTGTGACCCTTCTGCAATCAACCTTCTCCGTGAACCAACTGATTTGTCTTCCCTGCTTAGCTGGACCATGGAGGGTGGGGAGCAGGGCAGGAGACATCCTAACTTTCTCCTTCTGTCCTGCAATGCTCCAAGAGGAAAAACATGCTCACATTCCATGCTCAACAATAGCAACAGTAATGGCGCTTAGATTTATATACCGCTTCACAGTGCTTTATAGCCCTCTCTAAGCGGTTTACAGAATCAGCCTATTGCCCCCAACAATCTGGACCATCATTTTGAGGGGTTGCCACAAAGAAGAGGCAGTCAAGCTATTCTCCAAAGCACCTGAAGGCAGGACAAGAAGCAATGGATGGAAGCTAATCAAGGAGAGAAGCAACCTAGAACTAAGGAGAAATTTCCTGACAGTCAGAACAACTAATCAGTGGAACAACCTGCCTCCAGAAGTTGTGAACGCTTCAACACTGGAAGTTTTTAAGAAGATACTGGACAGCCATTTGTCTGAAATGGTATAGGGTTTCCTGCCTGAGCAGGCGGTTGGACTAGAAGACCTCCAAGGTCCCTTCCAACTTCAATTCTATTCTATTCTATTCTATTCTATTCTATTCTATTCTATTCTATTCTATTCTATTCTATTCTATTCTATTCTATTCAGAAGCATGGAAGGCTGGCTCAACCTTGAGCTGGTGAGACTCAAACTCCTGGCTGTGGGCAAAATTAGCCTGCAATACTGCATTCTAACCACTGTGCTACCCCCAGCTCTTACAAAGGAGAAGGGAATAGTAACCAACCACAAGCTTGCAGGGCCATAGGATGAATTTGAAAGAGGGGTGACCAAAATATGTGCACATAACCCACACCCAAATGCATCCAGGACAGGCAGGTCTCTGAAAACAGAGCAGCAGACACCAGACCTCTTCATATCTATATTGGGCATGCAGGAAATGGTTCAAAATGAAGTCTGCTAAACAAGAGAGAATAGCAATTACCTCCTGCTAGTTGTCATCCTGAGTCTAGGGGTTTTCAGGGCAAGGCTCCTTACCCTGCTAGCCCTGGAATGGCAGATGCTGAAGCAAATGAGTAATTCTTCAGCAGCACATTCTCATGGCCTTCACAAATATCATGCAATAGTTGATAATCCACCATAATCACTGGAGACCAATGCTGGATGAGATCTAACTTGCCCTCAGGTGCCCAAATACCTGCTCTACCAAGCTGTGTATCTGGGTGTGGGCAGTCAAACATGCCCTGCTGTGGAGTGTAGTAGAAGCAGTGCTTGGTTTCTGTTACTTCAAGCAGCTGCTCAAATCAGTCTTGCAGCGCAGAAGGTCCCGAGTATTCGAGAAGTGAAATGGAAAGGTCTTTGTGTATTAAACTCCAACTCTCTGAACCCAAGGTGGCCATTTTCCAGAAGTGACACCCAATATGTCTCTCACTATTCCAAGGTAGATAACCTCATAGGTAGGATGACAGACTTTGCAAAGAGGAAGAAAACAGGTGAATTCCAAGTGCCTTCCAGGTTGTATGTGAGTGTGGATGGTGTGGTCTGAAAGGCTTGACGAGGGTTATTCTTATTCCGCCAGTGCTGGCAGTCCGAAGAAAAGAAGCTTGAAAACTTTGCAGATTACTATTGAGAACACAATACTTAAGCAACTGGGACTGCAAGGATTGCCATCATCAAGTGACACGGTCTTACTTTATGACCACTTCATTTCATAATGGGAGTTCCAGGCCCAAACGCCATCGTAGGTTGAGGAGTGCCTATATATGCTCTGGTCAATGGAGGTGTATAGTTGAGATTTGATGTCCAGATTGTTGCAGCTTCTTTGTTCCTATAGACACTGCAAGAGTACAGTTCATTCCATATATTATTTTGAAATTTCCATTTATCATAGACAATTCCCATATTGCAATAAAGGGTAAAATTCCAATTTTTCCAATTGATTTCCAATTCATTTATGGTTAAGTATCCATATATCATAATCCTATAAATATTTAATTGGGATTATGGCTAAGGCTAGAAACCAGGAGACTGTGAATTCTAGTCCTG